TGTACAAGAACATTTATTCCATCTCGTTGCCAAATAACGTACCCAGTCTTGGAAATAAAAGAGAAAAGAATAAAAAAGAGGTCGTAGAAAAGAAAGAAAGTACGTAAACTTACACTTTATGAGCTGTACAACATCCGTATGCGTGGACTGCATTACATTCACGCCGTTAACCTGGAAATACCAATCATGGTTATAAATAGTGGAAATATACCGTGTCAAATATACGTTTTATAAACGTAACTAATTCTACACGTACAACGTATTGATCTTCTCAATTTTTCAAAATAGATATTTCGATTTACAATTCACATTCGATCGATAATTTCGCTGGGGATATACCTTAGCTAGTATTACTTTGCAATAGCATAAATTTGAAATAGACTCACCTTGATAATTTTATCGCCCGCGTGAAGGCCAGCTCTCGCAGCTGCACCGCCTACAATAAATCATCATTAGGTTTAGAAATTTTTTTCCGTGAAATATTCAGATATGTTTGAGAATAACCATTGCCGAAAATAAAAGTACTTACTTCGTTATATATATATATTTTTTTTTCGTTTAATAACATTTAACACAAGGATTTTATTTCAGAAATCTATATAGTTTAGTATATATTATAAGTTTCTAGAAAAAAATATTCGATCGTATGAAATATGTATTAAAATATACACTATTATTATTATTATTATTTTTTTTTTTTGTATGAAAATCTACATAAAAGTTTTATTCTTAAAGAACTCCAAAGTATTTCTTGGAAAGCGAAATTTTCATCGTAAAAACATAGGCTACAACGTTGGTTTAAATATTGCCCAAAATGTTTTACCACCGATTAATTAAACATAATTCATTTTAACGCATTAAATATTTGAACATAACACGATGAAATGTCATCACTTTATATTACCGAGGACAATCACACTAAGTAGTAGTAGTAGTACTTGTACCATTGATACACTACTAACTTGTAACATTAGTATTGTGCAAGGTTATCGCTACAATTAAACAAAGGTTTAAAAAAAAGTGATAATACGTTGTTCGAAATAACAATCACTTCTTGGAACTAATATAATTATTAATATATATATATATAACATTTTCTATGTTCCAAAGCTTTTGGAACGCAGGAAAAATTATAAAAAAGACAATACGAGTCATATTGAATATAAAAATCAAAAAAGTATTTGAAACATAATAACAAAACAGATATACCACTTCCGCTCTAATATTTAAATTAAGTCAAACTTTTATAACTTGTTAAAATCTTCGAGGCGTGAAATATAATAAATAATATACTACAATATACTCAACGTACTACAATAATTGGTCTATATCTGATATAAATGTTCAAAAAATATTCACCAAGAATATGTTATTAAAAAATGCATATCAAGTCGCACCGTCTATCTTAACCAACGTAATGTCATATCCGTAAACCATCATCACATCTCAAACTTCATCGTTAAACTTTTTTGTTAAAGAACATAAAAATAACCGACTGTGTGCGAATGATTAAAACTTCGATAACACGGTGACACACCTTCCTTCACAGATTGAACGTAGACAGGATTATCACCGGAGACTTTCATCCCGTATCCGGCGTCGTCCTTGTAGACGACGAGGGTGGCAACGGGTGCTGGTTCGACGGTTCCACCCCCGGCGGCGCCTCCGCCACCCCCGACGCTGCGTCGCAACGCCGCCGTTCCATTCATCCCTTCTTCGATCTCCGCCTGGCCTGCCCTCACCTCTGCCCCGGCTGCAGCACGACTCTATCACCTGCAACCAAAACGAAATAACGTTAGCAACATTCGCAATCTCACATCATCGACTGATAAATCATTAATTTCTTCAAATTGTCCTCTCTCCTCCTTCGATTCGAACAGCTGCCGCGAGAGAAATAAAGCTTCTGCGCGAAAAACAGAGAAGCAGGGAGAAAATATAGCTAAACGGGAAACATCGATTTCGTAGACCCTTTTAAACAAACGACGGAGGAGACAGGAATACAAATTTTATCGTGTTTTCCAACCTCTTGAAAGTTCACTAGACATTTTAGGAAAAGATATTACTGTTTTCTTTTTTTTTTTAAGCCTGTTATATAAATTATATATTTATTATATAATTATAATAATTATAACATAATAATATATAAATATTACAATAATTATAATAATATAATAATATATAAATATTTATAATAATTATATAATTATACATGAATTGTAACAAAAAGTACTTCTTGGAAGAAGACATCTAATTAGCAATAAGAGAGGAGATATATGCAGTCCAACCACGTACGTAATATTACGAAGGTGGAATTTTAAATTAAGCAATGAACGTAATAATTATAGAAGCGAGCTTTACGAGATGGTTATGAATATGGAATATGGAAGAAGTTTGCGATAAAAGATTTTCTAAATAATTTGAAGATTAGACGAGTAGCGATGATACGATGGAAATTTTGTGCGAATATCATAATCGTAACTAATATTCTACGAATGAAATTAAAATATTAACAAATAATAAGAATAAAGAATGTTATTCTAGTATTTATAGTATATCTATAAATAATAGAAGATAATATAAAGGAACATACAGAATTTTAGAAAATTCAAGCAACGTTGGATGATCTACTCTTTGAACTTTGTTCTTTCTGTTGGTGTTACATAACTGTTGGATCATGATCTTTTAATCTTATTTCACTTGCAACATTACCTCAATGCCAAATGTATGATAATATTAATTTCTGCGAATCTATCTTATTGATTTACAAACAAGTCAAATAAAATCTGTAAAATCATTCGTAATACGGTGACAAATAAATATGATTTAATTATCAGATCATAATTTACAAAAGGATGTGTATCTCTATTAAAACAACTGTTACGTTTTGAAGAATAATTGCTTCTTAACGAATGCAGGATATTTGATCATTCACCGCGCACGAAGCTAATAAATAATCATGCCCCCTTATCAACGGGATTGTATCTGTCGTTGCATCGTACATTCGCAAGCTTATAATCATATATATTTTATATGATGTTCATATTTAATTGTTATTTATTGTCGCATTGTCCATTGACTTCCTGGAAATTCACTGCCGTATGATTTTCAATTAATTGCTATATAATAAAACCTAAATTAAGCGGCACTTTTGAAAAAATTTTGTTAACGGAGTAATATAAAATTAAAAGATCGAATCGCAATTAATTCTTTGACACTAAAATACTTTTTATTTTAGAAACAATCGACGCGGTCGATAAATTTTTATAAGAAAGTATCTTTTATGTTTATTTTACTTAAAAAAAGAAGAGTAAAGAATAATATATTTCTGTATTACATTTATGATATATAAAAGTATCGTAAAGGATGATACATGATTATATTTGATTAAATAAAAAACAAA